ATTTGACCACACATATCAATGGTATGAGCCTATTCAGAATATTTTTCGAAAGAATAAAATACATAAAATACTTTGGGACTTGATATTGAAACTAGGTCAGAAGACTGGATCCTTTAGCCATCAACAAGAAAACATGACAAATAGTGGTTTTCGCAGTCCATGCAGGCTTATGGAATAGATATGAATGAAACTGAAAATTGATTATATATATATATATATATATATATATATATATATATATATATATATATATGTATTAATCTTGCTGGAGAAGTGATAGAATTGAGGAGAATGAGATGCAGTCGTGTCCGTCGTTATCGGGGTACTGGGCACGGTCGCAAAAGAATCTAAGAAAAATACTGAGAAATAGGAAATTAGTGAAAAATTTCGAACAACCAGTTCAAAGAATTCTCGAAAAACTGCTAGAATACTGAAGAGGCTTGCTGTCACTTGATCTAGTGAAATTAATGTGAAATTAATAATAAGAACAATGTCAGTGATGAGTATTGATATCAAATCAATTATTATGGTCTCATTTTAAAAAGAGGTTTCTTGGTTTTCTCAAATAACTGTGAGTGAAATGAGTTTGGTTTCAGCTTAGGGCGCTCTTTTAAAATACCAGAAACGAAATGAAAGAAAGAATGGAAAAAGTGTTAGCAAGAGTTAAGATGCAAGGTGGATAAAGACAAGGATGAAGGAGGCCTGAAAAGAAAGGAAGCTCCAAGAAGGAGCCAGTATAGAAGGAGAAGAAATGGCAACATGGAGAGGGGCGAAACAGGAAAAAAAAGAGAAAGTGAAGAAAAGAATGTGAAGAAAAGATGAAAAATAAATAAGATAAGAAGAAGAAAAAGAAGAGAGAGAAAGTCAAGAGGAACAAAGAAAAGAAGTTGAAATGGAAGGCATAAGAGACGTCAAAAAATTACAAATGTATAGTTGAAGAAGAAGAAGAAGAAGAGTTAAAGAAGAAGAAGAAGAAGAAAGCAAAAATAGAGAAGGAGGTTTAGAAGAAGAAAATAAAAGAATCTAATTTAGAAACAAAAGAAGGTGATTTAAAGCCAGAAAATGTTTTTAGAAGAAAATTTTGAAAGAAAAAAAGAAGATAAGAAAAACTTAGAAGAAAGAAATAGCAGGAGAAAGAAGAAAAATATGACAGGACGAAAGGTGTAAATGAATTTAAGAAGAATGAAAGGGAGAAGAAAGATGAGAGAAGAACAAAAGGAAAGAAGCAAGACCAAAAAAGAAAAATGAGAAACAAGAAAGAAAAAAATAGAAGAAAAAAAGCAGAAGGAAAAGGAAAAAAAGTGAAGAAAAAACAAAATGAGAAAAGAAGAAAGGAAAAGATGGCAGAAGAAAAAGAAATGAGATAAAAAAAGAAGGCAAAAGTAAAAGAAAGATAAGAAAGGGAAACCAGACGAAAGAAGAAAATGTAAAGGAAAGAAAGAAGAAAAGTGGTAAAGAAGAAAGAAGGGTAAAAGGAAGAGGCAAAAACAAATGAGCAAAAAAAAAGAAAATAAAAAAGTAGAGAAGACTGAAAGGAAAGTAAGAAGGATACCAAGAAGAAGAAAAAAAGAAGAAAGAAGAAAAAATAAAAGAAGGAAAACGAGAACTTAAGAAGAAGGGAAGAAAGGAAAGAAAAGAAAAAGAAAAAAAAGGAGAATGAAAGAAGAAAGGAAAGAAAGATGGCGAAGAAATGAGCAAATAAAAAAAGAAGAGAGAAGAAAATAAGGAAAGAAACTTAGAAGAAAGATGGTAAGAATGGAGAAGAAAATTGGGAGAAGAATGAAGGAAGAATGAAGAAGATTAAGAAAAACAAAGATGGAGAAAGAAAGAGAAGGCAAGAAAGAAAGGAGTAGAATGAAGAGGAAAAAAGAAAGAAACAAAGCGAAAGAAAGAAGAATGAAAGAAAATGAAAGAAAAAAAGATGAAAGAAAGAAAGAAAGAAAGAAAGAAAGAAAGAAAGATGAGAAGAATGAAAATCAAAAAGGGAAAGAAGAAAAAGGAGAACGGAAAGAAGAATAGAAATGAAAGAAATAAAGGAAATGAAAGAAAGAAAGAAAGAAAGAAATTTTAGAGGAAAAAAAAAGGAAAGAAAAGAAAAAGAAAAAGGAAGGAAGGAAAAAAGAAGATTTGACATACAACGAAAGAAACAAACGTGAAAAAAGAAAAAAACATGAAAAAGAAAAGATGAAACAAAAAAAGAAATTAAAAAAGGAAAATGAATGCCTATTTTCAAGGAAGGAAGGAAGGAAAGAAGGAAAAGAAAAAAAGAAATGCGTCGAAATAAATAAAAGAACAAAAAGAGAGGATTAAAAAATAGATGAAAGAAGAGATAAGAAAGAAAGAAAATAGAATCGAGAAAGAATTTAAAAAAGAAAAGAAAAGAAAAAAAAGAAAGAGATAGAATCGAGAGAAGAGATGAAAGAAAGAAATTAAAGAAAGAAATAAAATCGAGAGAATGAAAGAAAAGAAAGAAAGAAGAAACGAAAAAGATAAAAAAGATAAAGAAAGAAAAAAAAAAGAAAGAGACAGAATCGAGAGAAGAAATAAGAAAGAAAGAAAAGAAAAAAGAAAGAGATAGAATCGATAAAAGAGAGAAGAAAGAAAGAAAGAGACGGAATCGATAGAATGAGATAAGAAAAAAGAAAGAAAAAAGAAAGAAAAAGAATCGAGAGAAGAGATAAAAAAAAGAAAGAAAGAAAGAAAGAAAAGATAGAATCGACAGAAAAGAAAAGAAAAGAAAGAAAAAAAAAAGAAGAAACGAATGAGAGAAGAGATAAAAAAAGAAAGAAAAGAAAGAAAAAAAAAGAGATAAAGAGATGAGATAAGAAAAGAAAGAAAAAAAAAAAGAAAGAGATAGAGAATCGAGAGAAAAATAAGAAAAAAGAAAAGAAAAAATCCAAAGAGAAGAGATAAGAAATTTTAAAGAAATTTGAAAGAGATAGAATCAAGAAAATTAAAAAGAAAGACAGAAGGAAAAAAAAAAAGAAAGAGATAGAATCGAGAGAAGAATAAGAAAAAAAAGAAAGAAAGAAAGAAAGAAAAAAGAGATAGAATTTTTTTTTTTCATAAGAAAAAAGAAATTAAGAAAAGAAAGAGATAGAATCGAGAGAAGAGATAAGAAAGAAAAAGAAAGGAAAGAAAGAAAGAAAGAAAAAAAAGAAAGAGATAGAATCGAGAGGAAGAGATAAAAAAAGAAAGAAAATAAGAGATAGAATCGAGTAGAAGAGACAAGAAAGGTAGAAAAGAAAAAGAAAGAGATTTTCTTCCAATCGAAAGAAGAAATAATTTTAAAAGAAAAATATTTCTAAAGAAAAGATTTTTTTCAAGAAATAAAAAAAAAACGAAAGAAAAAAAAGAAAGAGATAGAATCGATTCGGTTGTAAGAAAAGAAAAGCAAGAAAGAAAGAGATAGAATCGAGAGAAGAGATAAGAAACCTCAAATAAAAAAAATATTTTGATAGAATCGAGAGAAGAGATAAGAAAGAAAGAAAGAAAAGAAAGAAAGAAAGAGATAGAATCGGATAGAAGAGATAAGAAAGAAAGAAGAAAGAAAAAAGAAAGAGAGAAGAATCGAGAGAAGAGATAAGAAAGAAAGAAAGAAAGAAAGAAAGAAAAGAAAGAGAGAGATAGAATCGAAAAAGGAGAAGAAAAAAAGAAAAAATAAAGAGATAGAATCGAGAGAAGAAATAAGAAAGGATCGAAAAGAAAAGAAAGAAAGAAATCGATAGAAGAGATAGAAGATGAAAAGGAAAAATAGAATCGAGAGAAGAGGGAAGAAAGAAAGAAAGATATGAAAAAAAAAGAAAAAAGAAAAAAAGAAAAGATATAGAATCGAGAGAAGAGGTAAAAAAAAAAGAAAAGAAAGAAAGAAAGAGATAGAATCGAGAGAAGAGATAAGAAAGAAAAGAAAAAAGAAAGAAAGAAAGAATGAGAGAGAAGAAATAAAAAAAGAAGAAAGTAAAAGGAAGAGATAGAAGGGGAAAGAAGAGATAAAAGAAAGAAAGAAAGGAAGAGATAGAATCGAGAGAAGAGATAAAAAAAGGAAAAGAAAAGAAAAAAAAAGAAAGAGATATGAATTTTATCAGAAGAAAGAAAGAAAGAAAGAAACAAAAAGAAAAGGAAAAAAAATCCGAGAGAAGAAAAAAGAAAGAAAGGAAGAAAAGAAAGAAAGAAATGAAATAAATCGAAAGAAAGAAACGGTGAAAGAAAAAGAAAAAAAGAAAGAGAGATAGAATCGATCGAGAAGAGAAAATTCAGAAATTAAGAGATAGAATTTAGAAAGATAAGAAAAGAAAGAAAAGAAAAAAGAAGAAAGAATTAGAAGAAAGAAAAAAAAAGAAGAAAAAAAAAGAAATAAGAGAGATAGAAAAGGAGAAGAAAGAAAAAGAAAGATTTTTAAGATAGAATCGAAAGAAAAGAAAAGAAAGAAAGAAAAAAGAAGAGGTAAAAAGAGAGGTAAATTAAGTTTTTGAGAAGAAAGAAAGGGAAAGAGATAGAATTTATCAAGAGAAAGAAACGGAGAAAGACATTTGATTTTTTTCAAAAAAAGATCTCTTAAAGAAAAAAGGAAAAAACAAAAAACTCTTTGATATTGCATTGTCGAAAGAAAGTAAGAAAGAAAGGTTTTAAAAAGAGAAGATTTTCGAAAAGAGAGTTTTTAAAGAATGAAAAGAAATTAAAAAGAAGAGAATTTTGAGAAGAAATCCACAAGAAAGAAAGAAAGAAAAAAAAGAAAGAAAGAAAGAAAAAAAAGAATCGAAAAAAGATAAAAGGAAGAAAGATTTTAAAGATATGAATCGAGAGAAAGAAAGAAAAGAAAGTTCTGAAAGAAAGGTGGTTTGAAAAAAAAAAGTAATAAAAAATAAAAATGAAGAGGCAAAGGGAAAGAAAATTATTTTATATACAGAAATTAAGAAAGAAGAGATTGTCATGAAAGAAAGAAAAAGGAAAGAGAAAGTAGAATCGAGAGAAAAAATTTAAGTTATCAGAAAGAAAGAAAGAAAAAAAAAAACGAAAGAAAGAGATAAGAAATTGAAAGAAAGAAAAAAAAAAAGAAAGAAAGAATCTAAAAGAGATTATTTAATCTCAAGAAAGAAAGAAAGAAAGAAAGAAAGAAAGAAAGAGAAAAAGATAAGAAAATTTGCTGAAGTGTGGAAAGAGATAAATCGAACCAAAGAAAAAAATTAATAGAAAATAAATAAGAAAGAAATTTTTTAAAATTTATAGTCAATAGAATCGAAAGAAAGAAGTTCAAGAATAGAATTGATTTTAAAGATAAAAAGAAAAGAAAGAAAAAAAAGAAAAAATGAGGTAAAAAAAGAAATAGAAAAAAGAAAGGAAGATTAAAAAAAATTAAGAAAAGAAAAAAGAAAAAAGAAAATTAAAGAAAGAATTTTTTAAATTTTAAAAAAAAAAGGAAAGTGTAAAAAGAAAAGTGTACGAGAGAAGAAATAAGAAAAGAAAGAAAAAAAGGTAGAAAGAAAGAAAGTAGAAAGAATTTTTTTGAGAAAAGAAATAAAAAAAGAAAGAAAAAAATAAAAGAAATAGAATTTCGAGAGAAGATGCCAAAAGAAAAAAAGAAAAAAGAAAGAAAAGATAGATATCGAGAAAAGAAAAATTAAAAAGAAAAAAAGAAAGAGAAAAATCAGTGAAAGAAAGAAAAAAGAAAAGAAAGAAAGAGAGAAAGAAAAGAAAAAAAAGAGAAAAAAGAAAAGAGATAGAAACGAAAAAAGAAATTTAGAAAGAAAGAAAGAAAGAAAGAAAGAATCGAGATGAAGAAAAAGGAAAAAAAAAGAGTAAAAGGAAGAGATAAATCGAGAGAAGAAATAAGAAAGAAAGAAAGAAAGAAAAAGAAAGAAAAAAGAAAGAGTTCGAGAAGAGATAAGAAGAAAGGAAAAAAAGAAAGAGATAGAAGTATTTTTTTTAAGAAAAAAAGAAAAAAGAAAGAAAGAGATAGAATCTGAAAGAAGAGATAAGAAATTTGGAAAGGAAAAAGAAGAAAGAAAGAGAATCGAAAAGAAAGAAAGAAAGAAAGAAAGAAAAGAACAGAAAAAAAAAAAAAAAAAGAAGAAGAGATAAAAAGATAGAAAGAAAAAAGAAAAAGAAAAAAAGAAAGAGATCACCATCGAGAAAAGAGATAAGAAAAGAAAGAAAAGAAAAAAAAAAGAGAATTTTTGAAAATTAAAATTGAGGGTAAAGAAAGAAAGAAAAAAAGAAAATTAATAAAAGAGAAAGAATTATCGAAAGAAAGAGAAAAGAAAGAAAAAAAGAGGAAAAAGGAAGAGAGATAAAAATCGAGAGAAGAGATTTAAAATAGAAAGAAAAGAAAAAGAAAAGAGATAGAATCGAGAAGAGATAAGAAAGTTGAAGACAAAGAAAGAAAAAAGAAAAAGAAAGAAATGACATGGATTCTCCAAGATTTTTAAGAAAGAAATAAAAGAAGAAAGAATTCAGAGAAGAGATTTCTTAAGAAAGAAAGAAAAAAAAAAAAAGATAGAATCAAGAGAAGAAATAAGAAAGAAAAGAAAGAAAGAAAGAAAAAAAAGAAAGAGATAGAATCGAGAAGAAATAAGAAAGAAAAAAAAAAAAAGAAATAGAAGAAAGAGAAACAGAAAAGAAAGAATGATTAAGAAAAGAAAGAAAAAAGAGAAATCGAGAGAAGAGGGGTAAACAAATTTGAAAAAAAGAAAATATTAGAATTGAGAGAAATGGGGAAAACGAAGAAATGAAAAAAAAGAAAGAAAAAGAAAAAGAAAGAAATAAAAGAAAGAAAGAAAGAAAAGAAAAGAAAGAAAGAAAGAAAAGAATCGAGAGAAGAGGAAAAGAAAGAAAAGAAAAAAAAAGAAAGAATAGAATTATCTATTTATTAATAAAGAAAGAAAAAAAAGACGCAAAAAAAGAATCGAGATGAATTTTTTCTTTTTTCTGGAAAATTCAGAAAAAAAAAGAAAGAAAGAATCGAGAGAAGAGATAAGAAAGAAAGAAAGAAAAGTCAAGAAAGAGAAAGAATCGAGAGAAGAGATAAAAAAAGAAAGAAAATAAAGAAAGAAAGAGAAATTCAAATGAGAAAATCTAAAAAAGAGAAAGAAAGAAAAAAAGATAGAAATTAAAGAAGATTTAAGAAAGAAAGAAAGAAAAAAGAAAGAGAAGAATCTTTAGAAGAAAAAAAAAGAAGAGACAAGAGAAAAAGAAAGAAAAAAGAAATGAGAAAAATTAAGAGAAGAAAAAGAAAGAAAGAAAGAAAGAGATAGAATTTGAGAGAAAAATAAGAAAGAAAGAAAGAAAAAAGAAAGACCAATATATTTCTCGAGAGAAAGAAAATAAGAAAAGAAAGAAAGAGAATGAAAGAAAGAAAGAAATTTATTTTTAAAAGAAAAAAAAGAAATTTGGAAGAAAAAAAAGGGAAGATAAAATAGAATCGAAAAAAGAAAAGAAAGAAAGAAAGAAAGAAAGAAGACAGAAGATCGAGAAAAAAGAAAAAAGAAAAGAAAAAGAAAGAAAAAAGAAAGAGATAGAAGAACGAAAGAAAGAAAGAAAAGAAGAAAAGAAAGAAAGAAAGAAAAGATAGAATCGATAGAAGAAATAAGAAAAAAGAAAGAAAAAAAAGAGAATTGAATCGAAGGAAGAAGAAGAAAGAAAAAAAAAAGAAAAAGATAGAAAAAAAAAGAAAGAAAGAAAAAGAAAAGAAAAAAAGAAAAAAAGAAAGAAAGAGAAGAATCGATAGGAAGAGATAAGAAAGAAAAAGAAAGGAAGAGAAAGAATCGAAGAGAAAGAGATAAGAAAGAAAGAAAGAGAAAAAAGAAAAAGAAAAAGAAAGATAAAGAATCGAGAGAGAAGAGATAAAAAAGAAATGAAAGAAAGAAAAAAAGAAAGAAAGAGATAGAAGATAAGAAAAAAAAGAAAAAAGAAAGAAAAAGAAAGAGATAGAATCGAGAGAAGAAAAAGAAAGAAAGAAAGAAAGAAAGAGAAAGAAAAATAGAAGAGATAAGAAAGAAAGAAAAAAAGAAAGAGATAGAAAAAAAGAGAAGAGATAAGAAAAAGAAAGAAAGAAAGAAAGAAAAGAATTAGAAAGAGAGAAGAGATAAGAAAGAAAAGAAAGAAAAGAAAGAAAAGAGAAAAAAGAAAGAGAAAGAAAAAGAGAAGAGAAAGCCCTTTCTCTTCAGAGAAGAAAGAAGAGTTCCTAAAGATTAGAAAGAAAGAAAGAAAAAAGAAAGAGATAGAATCGAGAGAAGATATAAGCTTTAAGAAAGAAAAAAGAAAGAAAGAAAGAGAGAAGAAAAAGCTGAAAGAAAGAAAAAAAGAAAGAGATAAGAAAGAAAGAAAGGAAGAGATAGAATGGAGAGAAAGAAAGAAAGAAAGAAAGAAAGAGATTCGAGAAGAGAAGAAAAAAGGAGAAAGAAAAGAAAAGGAAAAGAAAGAGATAGAATCGAGAGAAGAGAAAGAAAGAAAGAAAGAAAGAAAGAAAGAAAGAATTAGAAGATGAGGTAAAAAAAAAAGAAAAAAGAAAGAGAAGAAAGAAAGAGAAGAAATAAGAAAGTGAAAGAAAAGAAAGAAAGAAAGAAAGAAAGAAAGAATAGAAAGAAGAGAGAGAAGAATTTTCGAAGAAAGAAAAAAAAAAAAAAAAAAGAAAAAAAGAAAGAGATAGAATCGAGAGAAGAGATAAGAAAGAAAGAAAGAAAGGAAGAAATAAAAGATGAGGAAAAAAGAGAAGAGATAAGAAAGAAAGAAAGAAAAAAAAAAGAGATGAAATCGAGAGAAGAAAAAGAAAAGAAAGAAAGAAAGAAATCAAGAGATAGAATCGATTTAGAAGAGATAAAGGAAAGAAAGAAAGGAAGAGATGAGAATCGAGAGAAAGATAAGAAAAGAAAAGAAAGAAAAAAAGAAAGAGATAAAATCGAAGAGAGAAGAAATAAGAAAGAAAAGAAAAGAAAGAAAGAAAAAAAGAAAAAAAGAAAAATAGATAGAATCGAAAGAAGAGATAAAAAAAGAAAAGGAAAAGAAAGAGATAGAATCGAGAGAAGATATCAGAAAGAAAAGAAAGAAAGAAAGAAAGAGATAGAAGAAAGAGATAAGAAAGAAAGAAAAGAAAGAAAGAAAGAGAAGAGGCAAAGAAAGATATGAAGAATCGAAAGAAGAAAGAAAGAAAGAAAGAAAGAAAGAAAGAAAGAGATGAGGTCGAAATAGAAGAAAAAAAAGAAAAGGAAAGAAAGAAAAGAAAGATATGAGAATTATCGAAAGAAAGAAAGAAAGAAAGAAGAAAAAAAAAGAGATAGAATCGAGAGAAAAAAAGGAGAAAGAAAAAAAGTAAAAGGAAGAGGCAAAGGGAAGATATGAGAAGAGAGATCGAAAGAAAGAAAGAAAGAAAGAAAAAGAAAGAGATAGAAGATGAGGTAAAAAAAAAGAGAAGCAAAAAAAAAGGAAGAGGCAAAGGGAAGAGATGAGATTTATCGAAAGAAAGAAAGAAAGAAAGAGAAAAGAAAAAAAGAAAGAGATAGAAGATGAAGATGAGAAAAAAAAAGAAGCAAAAAGAAAAAAAGAAGAAGAAGGGAAGATACGAGAAAAAAAGAAAGAAAGAAAAGAAAGAAAGAAAGAAAGAATCGATAGAAGATGAGGTAAAAAAAAAGAAAGCAAAAAAAGAAGGAAGAGGTAGAATCGAAGATATGAGATAAGAAAGAAAGAAAGAAAGAAAGAAAGAAAGAAAGATAGAAGATGAGGTAAAAAAAAAGGAGAAGAAAAAAGAAAAAAGGAAGAGGCGAGAGAAGAAATATGAGAATCGAAAGAAAGAAAGAAAGAAAGAAAAGAAGAAAGAAAGAATGAGGTAAAAAAAAAAAAAGAGAAAAAAAAAAGAAAGGAAGAGGCAAAGGGAAGATAGAGATTTATCTTTAAGAAAGAAAAAAAAAGAAAGAAAGAAAGAGAGAAGAAGATGAGGTAAAAAAAAGGAGAAAAAAAGAAAAAGGAAGAGGCAAAGGGAAGATATGAGCTTTATCAGAAAGAAAGAAAAGAAAGAAAGAAAGAGATAAGAGAAGATGAGGTAAAAAAAAAAAAGAGGCAAAAGTAAAAAAATAGAAGAGGCAAAGGGAAGATAAAGAGATTTATCGAAAGAAGAGAAAAAAAAAAAGAAAGAAAAAAAAGAGATAGAAGATGAGGTAAAAAAAAAAAGAGAGGCAAAAGTAAAAAAAGAAAAGGCAAAGGAAGATATGAGCTTTCGATCAGAAAGAAAAAGAAGAAAGAAAAGAAAGAAGAAAGAATAGAAGATGAGGTAAAAAAAAGAAAGAATCAAAAGAAGAAAAGAAAAAAGAAAGAAAGAAAAAGAAGATGAGAAAAAAAAAAGAAAGAAAAAAAGAAAGAGGATGAGAGGCAAAAAAGAAATATTTAGAAAGAAAGAAAGAAAAAAAAAGAAAGAAAGAAAAGAAGAAGAAAAAAAAGAGAAAGAAAAGAGATTAAGAAGATGAGGTAAAAAAAAAGAAAGAAAAGAAAAAAGTAAAAAGAAAGAGGCAAAGGGAAGATAGAAGAGATAAGAAAGAAAGAAAGAAAAAAAAAGAGAGAAATCTGTTCCCAAGAAAAAAAGAAAGAAAGAAAGAAAGAAAAAAAAAGAGAAGAAGAGAGAAGAAAGAAAAAAAAAGAAAAAAAAAGGAAAAAAATGAGGAATAAAAAAGAAAAGAAAGAAAGAAAGAAAGCAAGCAAGAAAGAAAAAGAATAGAAGAAAGGTAAAAAAAGAAAAGGCAAAAGAAAAGGAAGAGAAAGAAAGATTTATCGAATTTGAAAGAAAGAAAGAAAGAAAGAAAGAGAAGAAGATAGGTAAAAAAAGGAAAAAAAAAAAAGAAAGGAAAAAAGATAAAAGAAAGAAGAAAAAAAAGAAAGAAAGAAAGAAAGAAAGAGTTTGAAGAAAGAAAGAGATAGAAGATGAGGTAAAAAAAAAAGAGAGATAAAGTAAAAGGAAGAGGCTCGTTTTAGATATGAAAGAAATTTGAAAGAAAGAAAGAAAGAAAGAAAGAAAGAAAAAAAAGAAAAAGAAAGAGATGTTTGAAAAAAAAAAAAAAGGAGAGGCAAAAGAAAAGGAAGAGGCAAAGGGAAGATACGAGAAAAGATCGAAAGAAAGAAAAAAAAAGAAAAAAAAAGAAAGAGA